TTTAATTTCAATTTTATACTTCCTCAATGCTCAACAACTGTCACACACACACACACACACACACACGCACACATATCCGCACTCAACGAATGCAGGTAAATAAATACAATATAATGAAGCACATCCAACACAAAATAACGGTATCCTTTTCACATGTCCACTTTTGCAAACACTTGAGTGCAACTGAGCTGTCATCAAAGCAACGCAGCAGAACCAAAGGAGAGTCCAAAATAGAGGCGTTAAATTCAAATTTAGTCTACAGCGCCTTAAAGGATAATGGAAGCGATATTTTTTCCTTTAGATATAATTTAAGTTTTTTTATTTTTTTTTTTTGAAGCTCGAATATTTTTTTTTTAAATTAACAACTCTAAAAGTTTTTGAATTTTTTTTTATTTTATTTCATCTTTTAGTGCGTTGCATTATTTCACACTGGATAAAAGTACTTAATGTTCTCTGGGGTATGCATTAAGTGACTTTTCACAGGACTTTTCACAATTGCTAAGCTGTCATTTAGTGTTTGTCGAATTTATTCACAGAATTTGGTATGTGAGTTTAAAAAAAATGGAAGCAAAAAAAATTCCGTTGTTTTATTTTTCTTTTTTTTAATATCCTTGCCCTTTCTTCTACATTAACATTATTCGATTTTTTTTTTTACCACAAATCTGTTTACAATTCTTTTTAATAACCCGATTATAATTTTTTAATATTTTAAACTGTTCTATTTAAGAAAAAAAATTAAATTCCAAACACCCGCGACAGCTCTAAAGCGATTCCTTCAGCTTCACAGAAATAAATTTTTTAGAGTTTACGAAAATGTTTTTCAGCGCACTAAGCTTTCGCACGAGCTCACGTCTGCAGTTCGACTGAAACATTTGAAATTTTCACGCTGCTACAATGCGTTCGTGCGACGAGCTAGCCAAACCAGCAACGTCGCAGCAGACGTCGAAGGCAAAGAAAAGCATGAAAACCGCCACTGCCGACACGCTACAATACGCCGGCAGCAGCTCGTCGGTAGCCGAAGCACGCCGAAGTGAAATGTTTGCGGATGTTTAGTCGCGCTAGTGTCGCTGGTAGCAGCAGCGCAGTTGAAAATAAAATAAAATAAAATGAAATGAAATGAAACGCGCTAGTGTCGCTGGTAGCAGCAGCGCAGTTGACCTTAGCAGCATGTTAACAGTCGTCGTAACAGTGCTGTTATAACCACGTCGCTGCTGGCAGTGCAGCGAACAGTGGGACATAGCTTTTGCATAGTAAGAGCTCGCTTGGCGCCGGAAGTGTTGGACAAATAGTGTGGCAGAACTGATGGCTGCGCGTCAACTGCCGGCGCTGACTGTGGCCGACAAATGTTGGTAAACAAAGCGAAGACTGGTAGCACAAGCACGTGCTGAATGCCATACAGGTGTGGCAGCCTTGCAGGGTGAGTGTGTGTGTGTGGAAGGCCTCTGAACAGCAAAGGCAACTGTTGCATGTGAAGCATGGAAGTTTGAAGGGCTTGAAGCGAGGCAGAATAAGAAAAAACATATATATGAAATAAAATTAAATTAAATAAAAATGAAATAAAGTAAAATAAAATAAAATAAAATAAAATAAAATAAAATAAAATAAAATAAAATAAAATAAAATAAAATAAAATAAAATAAAATAAAATAAAATAAAATAAAAAAAAAAAAAAAAATAAAATAAAAAAAATAAAATAAAATAGAATAAAATAAATTAAAATAAAATAAAAATAAACAAAATAAAATAAAGTGAAAAGTAAAAGAAATGGTATATAAATCATAGTAAATAAAATTAAAAAACTATGTAAGAACAATATCTCCGCTATGCTTCAGCTCATGTTCCTGCATTTACTTGCCACAGCAGAGCAGCGTTGCAGCATAGCAGCATTGCATAAGAACACTACCAATAATATCTAAATTTATTATGCGTGAAAATTTTGCATCAATTTTCTTGAATATTCGCGCCATAAAAACCATAAAATGGGTGAAAGCGTAGCAGAAATATATAAAAATTTCTCATTTCGATATAAATGCCCCTAAAATGGGACGTAAAAATAAATCCGAAACAGGGTTCGTATAAGGAGGAACACGAAAAATCAATTAGAAATCACCATAATGCCGTTATAAATTTCATATACATATGTACATAGTTGTATTGCTAAGCAATTTTTTGCACTTCTCCGAAATTTAATTAATGAAAATTTTCAGAAGGCGTGAATGTGCAAAAATTTTACAAATACAATTCATACTTGCCACAAAATTTATTGCATATGTATGCATATACATACATACATATGTGTGAGAATAGTATGGGCAAATTAATTCGAGAAAAACACATGAATACATACATATAGCAATTTGTCCGCTGGGAGTGTTTTAACTTGCAACATCAGGGCACACGTTCGCTCGGTGGTGGCAAGTTCATTTCGTAGCTAGCGTAAGTAGCAAGTTGGATTTTTTTTTGCTGGTGTTAAAAATTATTCCAGCTAGCAAAAATCTAATCAAAACAAAAAGCTTTAGTGCAATAAAGTTGTTGGAAATGCTGAAAATCTCAAAATATTTTCCAAAGTGTCAAAAAATGATTTGAAAATAAATTGAATTGTAGGACAAATGTGGCGTCATAATTTTTATGTCTGCTATTTTGGCAAAAACAACAACAATGCTCATGTGAATCTCGGCGAATGAAGTGGGAGAAGCTTGAAGAAGGTAGGATTTCTGACCAGAGAGAATTGATGTCACAAAGAATTTGCCAAAAACTCTGCTCTGTTATTTACTTAATTTGAAGTTTTAAACAAAAAGAATCAAAAATAAATTGTTTTAATTTTACAAAGGAGTTTCAAATCTAAATTCTGCCACGTTTTAAAATATTAAACGCATTTTCAGCTTATAGTGGAGCTTTGAGCTTTCAAACCATTAATTTTTTGCTTTTGCTTTGGAGCTTTCGAGCTTTCGAGCTTTCAAGTTTCCGATTTTAGACCTAATTACTTAAATTTTAACACTAAAACTCCCAGAGGGTGTTTTGAGTGACTGACAAAGCCAGCTTTCTCTGACAGCAAGGCAAAAGCAAAAGTCATTTTGGCGGTCAAATTTGTTTAGAAAAATATTTGACAGCGCAGTGCTTTAACATTCAAGAACCTATAGGCTAGCTTTAGATATTTTGAGCTTTCAAGCTTTAAAATAAAAAAATAATTATAATTACATATTCAAACAATTTTGACATCTTGAGCTTTCAAGCTTTTGAGCTTTTTTGTTTCGGAACTTCTAAAATTTGCGATTTTCAACTCAACTGCTTAAAATTAAGCACAAAAACTGTGAGAGAGTTCTAACGGTGATCAGTAAATTATTTTTCTATACAATTTTTGACACTCTTCTACATACAAATGCCTTATCAAAAAGAAAATTATTGAAGCAAAAGTTTACGTTTACTTTCACTAACTTCTTCCTCACTCACACTCTCATTTCTCCAACAAAATAAATCTCTTGAAAAAGCTCACCCAAAAAAGCACACCCGCTGTGTCAACGAGTATTTGCGCTTGTCTCATGTCGCCGAAATGAAAGTGAGTGTGAGATAGAAGAATAAATTTTAGGAAATACAGCAAGCCAACAACTAGTCATCAAACAATGCGTCCACACAACACTACACACGCACACACACTTTTTGTGGTGACAACAACTTTCGCTGATCCTTAATCCACGTCCTGCTGAAATCGTAGTGTATGTTTGTTGTTGCAATGAATTTGAACTTACGCTGGCAGTTTTTTAAGGGGCAACAACAACTTTGTTAATTTAAGTGTGTAAATTTAAGCACCGAAATTCGTTGCCCTCATGCTATTTGTTATTAAGCTGTACACATTTGTTTGCTGTTTTTGTTGGGTTTTGACTATGCATGCGCTTACTTTTCGAAATAATTAATGAATTGTGTAATTTTCTAAATTAATTCTAATATTTTTCGCTTGAATAGAAATTTATTTGGTGTTGCAATATTGTAATTTTTAAAAATAGCATTTGATTTGAGTTTTCCAGAAATGAATTGTGTCAGGCACGAGTGCATAAATTGTTTAACTTGTTGAGTTTATATGACTTTAACTGAACAAAATTTAATTTAGAAATGTGAAATTGCTTTTTTTACTTTTTCAAATCTCAAAAATAGTTGCGGTCTTTCATATGTGTGTTCATGAAAATTGGCAACGTTGTAAAATTTAAGTAAAATAATTTTTTTCATATCCATCTATTGCCCAAGCGCAGTTTTAGCAAATTTCCAATGAAACTAAAAATATTACTTTAACTCAAAGCTCAAGGAAAATTGGCAACGTTGTCTATCTGACTCCCTCACATTTCACAACTTGAGGGAAAGTGGCAACAATGGTAAATTTGAGCAAAATCTAAACAGTGTATTGGCTAAACTCAGCTAAAAAAAATATCCTAATAAACGAATTTATGTTGAAACAAGAAATTCGTATTTTATTCGTCTGCATTGAGCAGAGAAAATTGGCAGGGTTGTAAAATTTTTCGAAAATATTAAATGATATTAATTCAGTGCGCAAATCTTGCAATTCTCTCTATAGAATGCTTTTCATTTGCTACGAATAATAGTGTCCTGCTTTTAGTTGAACTGTTCATGAAAAATGGCAACAATGAAAAATTAGAAAACAGTGAATTTTGCGACCCCTCTAGTGAGCAAAATTTAAATAACATCAAGCATACGTCTTTGGCTTATATATATGTCGATTTCATTGAAAATTTACAAAGTGCTAAAATTTTGAGAAAAGCAAAAAAAAATTTTGTGAAAATTGGCAACATTGAAAATTTTTCTAGGTATCCAAATAGCGAGTGCTACAAAGTGAAGTAGCACACATTGTTTAAAATATAAATTTATATGAAAAATATAAGCTAGATTTTGACTTTTATGCCGCAGTGGAAGAAAATTGGCAACATTGAAAATTTTTATAATATCCTTTTTAAATATATATATATAGGAAATTATTTAAAATAAAAACTTACCTTCTGTTTCACTGCTAGGACAGTTCGCCTCATCGGTGCCATCTTCGCATTCAACAATACCGTTACACACATAATAACGCGCTATACAATTGCCATCACATTTAAACTCGCTATCGGAGCAAACTGTAAACATTCGGTTAAATAACGGTTAATAACGATATATTGAAAAAAAAAAAATAGTTTGTGAGCGATTAATAGGTTTCATAAATGGGGGTTAATTTAGAGCAAAGTATGACTCATTCAGACTAAACTGAGAGCAATGAAAATTTACAACTGAGTGAAAGTTAAATTAAAAACTAACAAAAAATTAAAACAAAATAAATTTAAAAAAAAATTTAATGAAATAAAAAATAAGGAAAAACAGAAAAATTTACAATAAAATTAAAATATTATGCTTGCAAAATATTTACAATGTTTTGTTAAAAAATATTAATTTTTTAGTTATTAGTTTTTCAAAAATTCATTAATTTTATTTTTAAGGAAATTACTAATTTAATAATAACAAAAAAAAAAATATTACGTCGGCCAACTTTTTTGCCGCTGAAGGGTAATGTTTTCGCAAATTTTGAAAGTTTTTTGTGCGCAAATTTCAAGGTTAGGACCGATTTTGAGAATACTTGGCAACCCTAACGCGTCCTATTGACGGCAAATGCTAAGGAAAAACACAGATGAGCAACAACAAACAACAAGTATCATAAATGAGTTGTGTGTAGTGTGGGAAATACAAACGTAGCAAGAGCGGGGAAGAGAAGGGTGGTCAGGTTTTAGGGGAAGTGGAAAAGGGTAGATTATTAATAAAATATTTCTTTTTTTTTTAATTTCTGGAATAAGTGGATCTTGGATTGATTTGGTGTACACTTAATTTGGACTTTGTTCGAATGCGCTGATTTGACAATAGTACACACACAAATACACAAACACAAAAATAAACAATACCATTTTCACCTTCGTCTCTTTCTCCTTTACCAGCCAGATCCTCATCAATGATTTCCTCCTCATTACCATCGACAGCACCGCCATTGGCATCACCACCAGCACCATTTTCATATTCACAGTCGACCTCATCTTCACCATCCGGACAGTCCTCACGACCGTCACAGCGTTGTTCGTCGCAGATTTGGTAACCACTTCGGCTGCATGTGTACGAGGCATCACCACGACAGCCGGCATCCGTGAAAAGCGTCGAACGATCTGTCGAAATGCCAAAGTTGGTATCAGCGCCAGAACCCTCATCCAGGTCTAGACCATTATAGGCGCGCTCTGGCTCTTCGGTGGCTTCGGACTCGTCAGGCATTATGGGTAGTTCGGGTATTTCGTCTCGTTCGGAGGCTGTATTTTTATCAAAAGCGGAGAGAGGAAACAAATAATAGAAATTTTTTTTGCCAAATTTTGTGAACCGTACGCTATGCTAAGGTTAGCGCATAGCGTATACAAAATAGTCTGCGAGCGCAAAATGATAGCGATAGAGCGAGAGCAGGAACGAGAGAGCGGGAGAGGACGCACACAAATACATTAAAAACACATAAACGGTGGGAACACAAACAATGAGGGACCCAACACACTTAGGCGAAGTTAAAGCTGAAGTGAGCGCTGGAAACGTTGGGAACACAGAAATACAAAAACACACAAAGATGGCGAGGGTTGTAATTTAGATAGACACAAAGAACGGAAAAGCTGAGAAGGGAATGCGTTTGGAGTACGTGCGTCGAATGAATGAGTAGGAAAGGGCGGCATGAGTTTAACAGTTGTGCGAGAATATTTGGAGTTTTCGAAAGCTACGATAAAGCTTAATGAGTAAGCTCTCCAAAAGAGTCAAATGGGAGAGTGTAGTGCATGGAGTTTTGACAAATGAAATTTTAATCAATTTAAATGCTTTTTGAAAACCCAGTTAAATGAGTGCTGCGTTTAATGAAATTAAAGCTTAGAGGGAAAGCTCTAGAAATGACAAATGAATGAGAGAGAGAGAGAGAGAGAGAGTTGAAAGCGAAAAGCTGTGAAAAGGTACAGCACGATTTGAATGTTTAACGAAAATGGCAGTTTAATGAAAGCTGCTTTCAGTGGAATTAAAGCTTCGAGCAGCTTATATAAAATGATATTGAGAGAACTGCAGAAAGCTTAGAAAAATGTTTAGATTCGAATGAAGGTAATGCTAATAAATGTAAACCAATAAATAATGAATCAAAAATGAATGAAATACAAAGTAAACACTAAAAGATTAAATATAAAATTAAAACTAATTTAAATTCCCAAAAAAAAAACTCATTAGTTACGGTAGTTAGTTGCTTGCGTTGAGTTTTAGCAAACTGACTGTTGTCGTTAAAACCAAAAGAGAGTACAAAAGGATAACCAGAAAGAGAGAAAAAGTTTTTGCAAGCTTTAAGCTCTATAAAGCTTTTTTGATATTAGTAAGCTTACACTTATTTACTAACTGTTAGCTAAGACGTTATTCAATAAGTAATTGAACCCAGAAACTGTACGCAAGCTTTAACACAAGCTTTAAGCTCCCCAATGCTAATTTCGTATAGTTTTTTTCTAATATTAGTAAGCTTTCATTTAGTATTATCTAACGGTTAGTTGAGTAAGTATTTTGTTGTTTTTTTTTTGGTCGTATGTTAGCTAAATATATGAATAAGCTTTAACAGTTAGTTAGATTGTTGTTGTGAGCTTTTGTTAATTAAGCATTTTGTACAGCCATACTTTTTTTTTTTTGGTGATTTTGGTGATAAGCTTGTTTGCTTGCTTGCTTTTCAATAAGTACACCTTAGCCATTGATGACTTATATATGTATATCTATGTATGTATGTATATATATGTATATACAATAAAATGTAACAAAATTAGAAAGCTCCGAAGGCATTTTGACGCTACCTTCCTCACGTTGCCGTTTTTCATACTCAGCACGAGCGCGCTCTATTTCCTGTGCACGGCGGCGTTCTTGTTCTATATACTCGGCTCGTAGGCGATCTTGTTCGGCGCGTAGGCGATCTTGTTCGGCGCGTTCAGCTTCCTCAGTGCGACGACGTTCTTCTTCTTCATCATATTCATCAACTATTTCATTCTCATTCGGTTCTTGTGTAACGGGGTCTACGCTTTCATCCTCACCGCCGGCGTAACCGGCTTCTTCTTCTTCTTGAGCACGACGTTCCTCCTCCAGGCGGCGTTCCTCTTCGGCACGGCGTTCTTCTTCGGCACGACGTTCTTCTTCAGCACGACGTTCTTCTTCAGCACGACGTTCATCATCAGCGCGGCGCTCATCTTCGGCACGGCGTTCATCTTCAGCACGGCGTTCATCTTCTGCGCGCCGCTCTTCTTCATTGCGACGCTCCTCCTCTGCAAGTCGCTCCTCTTCTTGTGCACGACGTTCTTGCTCAACACGTTGCTCTTCCTCGGCAGCCAAACTTGCGGCTCTGTCTTCCTCCTCTGCACGATGACGCGCCTCTTCCTCTAAACGACGTTGCTCTTCTTCGGCGGCAAGACGTTCATCTTCCTCGGCATCGTATTTGGAATTACAGAAGGCCTCGTCCTCATCAGCGCCATCGGAACAATCCATTGCGCCGTTACAGAGATTGTCGCAAGCGATAAGTGAGCCATCCGTACATTCAAAACCATGATCGGGATCACATGCGTCCCCATAAGTGCCGGAAACTTCGTCACCCCCTTCACCATTATACTCTTTGGGTGGTATGTAATCGGTTTCGGGGTCTATCGGTAACGATATGTCTAATGATGAGAATTCAAGTCGAATTTTACATACATATGATAAATAGTTTGCGGTGGTTTTGTGAAAAATAATGTTTCTACTATAATGGCTGTCACCACAAAAAAAAAGAATCGAGAAACTATGCTTTGGACCCCCAACACCTCGAAATGCCGCGGCTTGGTTTCCTCACCTCCATCTTTCGTGTGAAAAAATCTTTTCTGCTGTAAAGGGGTTTGGTGGTAAGACATGTACGTAATCTTTTGGCAGAAATCATAGAAAGTTTTGGAGTAGAGATTTAGAACCGAATTTAGAATTTGTCGTTAGGAAATTGGAAAAAGAAGTTTTTTTGTGTTAAAATACTACCACGAATTCATATTACAGCCGAAAAAAAATCTTTTACAGTTCCCAGATCTTATACGCAATCCACACACGGAGAGCGGCAGAAAGCGAGTTAACCGCCACTTACCATCTATGTGCCTGAAGTAGAAGCGATCGCCAGTCTCAGCACCCAAATTGCCTAAGCGATGATAGCGCTCAAGGTGATTCTCAAATACCTGCTGGAAACCGTTGTTGCCCTCGGGCAGTTCGAGTTGTACCAAGACATATACCTTGTAGTTGTCCTCATGACGACTGGATGATGCAGAGAATGCGAATGGTAAGAGAGAGAAAGAGCGAGATTAAGAGATTGAGGAAAAAACTATTTAGTTGAAAGTCTCAACACTTACTTCACTACCAACAAGGCGGGGTTGATGTCAAAGTCCTCATCATTGACCGCTTCGTGGAAGAGCTTCTTTAGCGATATCTCCAGCGAACGATACAGGGTCAAGAATTCCTCGCTTTTTGCATTGGTGAAGGCCTCACTCCAAGGCTCGTTGATGACAAAGTAAGTGCGCCCTAAACGAGTATAAGAAAATAGTTTAGACCTCTACACGAGGAGGTTTCGCATCAACACTACTCACAGAATTCCGTTGGGGGGCCCTCGAATTCGTCATCACCATCACCCGAGCCATCGTAGTCGCTTTGTCGTTTCGCATGCTTCTTCGCAAGCTTTTTCAGTTGTTTGCCTTGCTGTTCCGCCGTTTCATGTTCTTGACCATGTTGTTGTTGCTGCAACAAGAGCTGGCCACGATGTTTGCCACCCATGTGGTGTTTATTACGATGCTTCTTATCATCACCACTACGTGCTTTGTGCTGTTTTGGATGCTTGTGGCTGTGCTTATCGGCTGCACCTTCGTGCAGCTTGCGTCGATGTTGCTTGGCGGACTTGTCATCCGCTTTGCCGAAGAGACGGCTTAGCTCACGGCGTACACGTTTCACGCCCTTCACCAGCCAACTACTGCTGTCCGCTTCAGTTTCATCGTCCGCGGCGAACGGTTGCAGTTCGTCCTCGAGCAGAGATTCAGTATCGAGGTCACGTTGATTTCGTATCAGTTGTGCATTGGTGTGGGCCGCAGGCGCTTCATCGAATTGGTCAATATCGAAGGTGTCATCGATGGTGAAATCGGCATTGCTTAGTTGCTGTAACGATTGGTGAATAGAAAAAGAGGCATGTTAATTGCGGTGCATGTAAAAAAAAAGCTAAGCAGAAGTCTGTTGATAACATATATATTATAAGTAATGGTGAGTTTGAAAGCGCTGCTAAATTAACACTGTGGTGAGGTATTTAATTCCTAAAGCTCGCTGCGTTGAGCAAGCTTTGAGTGACCGCAGTTGGGTGAGTTCTTAATTTTAACAGTAATTTGGGTTTGTGCCTCTGCTAAACTATGTGGTGAGTATGAGAAATCGCAATCAAAGGTGATTACACGCAAATCAAAGTGTTAAAAAATTAAAATAAAAATAGAATAAATTAAAATAAAATAAAACAATATATATAAAATAAATTAAACGAGAGAATAAAATAAAATGATATGAAAAAGAAAAAATATTAATAATAATTAATTAATTTAAAATAAAATAAGCTTAAATAAAATCAAATAATTAGACAAAATAAAAAAATATAAAATAAAAAAATTAATATAAGAGAAATGAATAAAATAAAATAAAATAAACAAAATAAAATAAGATAAAAAAATAAAATAAAATAAAATAAAATGAAATAAAATAAAATAAACTAAACTAAAATAAAATAAAATAAAATAAAACAAAATAAAATAAAATAAAATAAAATAAAGTAAAATAAAATAAAACAAAATAAAATAAATAAAAATATATTTAAAAAACATAAAATGAAATGAAATAAAACATAAAACTCGAGCATAAAATAAAATATAAGTAAGAATTAATTCAAATAAAAAAAAAAAAACAAAATAGAACTAAATGAAATAAAATCAGATTAAATGAATTGAAGTAAAGCGAAACGAAATAAAACAATTAATGGATTGAATAATAATAGTAATTAAGTGAATTAAATAAAGAGAAAAAATGGAAGAGTAAAATAAATTATAGAAGTACACGTACAAGTACAAGCAAAATATACTAAAGAAATAACGTATATATGTACGAGTATATATGTATGTATGTATATTACGAAGGAATTAGAAAGTTCTCTTCTGTGATCTCTTCCATACATTTTTTGCTGTTTTAAAGCTCTAAAGTTTCTTTTATTCTCAAATTTTTACTCGTAGCATTCCCTACTCTTATCACACGGTCATTAAATTTGAAACTACCATTCATTCCATTGACTCACGTCACTTTTACTTTCAAAAATACTAATTTTTATTTACTCTTATCAAACGGTCTTCGGCCTGCTTCTTGTAGATATCATGGAACTAAGAGCTTCAATGAACCACAAATACCTTGTAAGTACTTTGTACTTCAAAGATAACGGTTAATAATCCCTAGTCAACCTAATTAGCGGTAAGTGGATATCACCTTTATTAGAGTTGGCATATACCATGGGAACACACATATGTATATGTAGGTTTATGTGTGAGGTAGGCTTGTATGGAAATATATGCGCCCCGAAAAAACAAGGGAATTTTAAACACTTCTACTAAGTCCTCTGCCTGAGTTTCTTTTAAGGCTACAGGAGATCAGACCAATGGTACCAAAGAGAGTCGTGCTATTACCTACAAAAATAAATATGTTTATATGTATTACGATTTTTTCTAACCCACCCAAACACACAACGTTAATGAGTCAATGAACCACATGTCAGTTATCACAATGATGGTGTGGTAGTGGTGAGTAAATATGTGAGTATGCGTTTATATAGGTATAAACAAACATATAAACTCACTTGTTGTTCTTGTTATCAAATAACTACAATATTTTTTATTGTTATTTTTTTGTTGCTAGCAGTTGTCAAAAGCCACGTTGATGTTAACTGATTGCAATGAAACAACAACACACTACAGACAACCACCTGCCGGCAATTTGCGCGACAGAGGCAATAAGCAATTAAATAAATTTTCTTTGGGATGGCAAAAAGAGGATTTTCTTCACTCTTACCTGTAGCTTTCCGTCACTTAACAATTTCTGAATATTGTTGATATTAAATTTCATATTTATTGCAACAATAAATAATTAAAAATTTAAAAAATTTATGCTTAAATACATATATACAACTAAAAGTAATTGATATATAAAATAAAATAAAACTGAATAAATTTAAAAAAAAAAAAATGAAATAAAAAATTAGAAACAAGCCATAAGAAAATAAAATAATATAAAATAAAATAAAATAAAATAAAATAAAATAAAATAAAATAAAATAATATAAAATAAATAAAATAAAATAAAATAAAATAAAATAATATAAAATAAAATAAAATAAAATATAATAAAATAAGGAAAAAAAATTAAAATAAAATAAAATAAATTAAATTTAATAAAATGAAAAAAATAAAAAAAAAATAAAAAAAAGCATAAATTAAAATAAAATAACAGAGACAAAATAAAGTTACATAATATAAAACTAGTTTTGAATTAGTTTTTAATACAAAATAATTTTTTCATGTGTGCTCGCCGCGCTTATCTTCACGCATAACGTAGAAAAAATGAAGCCTCCAACTTTTGCAGGAAACACAACATGCACACACGTGAATTAGGTCAAATGCAGGCAGCGACAGTCGGTGTTGGTGATAAAAGTTTGCTTGCAAGTGGGTCAACTGTTCCCCCCAAGCGTATGAAATACACATTTGGAACGCATATCCTATGCATGTGTGTGTATGTTCATATATATAATTTATCTTGTTTACATATGGATGCATATATACAGATATATAAATATATATATTTTCTTCAATTTTAAACAAATTTTTATTTATTTCTTATTTTTGCCTCTGCCACGTTTTTTTTTGCCTCCTTCGCTTTGCTTAGTAATTACTTGAAAAAGCCTTACATGGAGACAACGTACATATGTATGTATGTATGGAAGCATGTACGCATTTGTTTGATTAACCCATTAACATTTGTATTTTATCACCTAACAACACACATACATACATACACACGCACACAGTTATATGCCCATAAACTGATTTGTCAACACTAGAAAAATTCGATCATTTCTATGAAGTGCTTGTATGAAATATGAAATGTTGTTGTTGTTGCTTTGAATAAATCTCCAATGCGATGATATAATGCGAAAGGCAATAGAATGCACGTGAAAATGAGCCTAACAATAGAAAAAAACAGGTTAAGCTTAAATAAAAATAAAAAAAGAGGAAGAGAGAAAAGCTTGCTCGCCAAAACGTCATACAAACAAATTAATAGAGAGCGAAATATATACATATATTTATATACCTTCATACATATAATTTGCACCCATACGCGTATAAATTATGCACGATTCTTTACTGTAAAATGTAGTAATATTTAATTTTAGTTTATATTCGCATTCTTCATCGACCCCACCCCGCTGCCCACATGTTTACCTCACTTTGGCTTGTGAGCAAGTAGACGACTCAGCTGATATTTATAGATTTGACTGCAGTGACAGATAATTTTCGTTGAATGAAAAAATGCACCATAATAAACTAACGGAAATGGGTGTATGAATAAAGTGCAACACGCGTCTGGAATGTGTCTGTGTGTGTGTGTGTGTGTATGGGTGTATGTATGCAAATGAAATGAGTTTGTTTTTCTAAATGACAGCAATTAGTTTGCAATGAGCGAAAAACGTATTGCGGGTTAGTAAGAAAAAAACAAATACAAAAACAAATAAATATAAAAAAATGCAGATGAATAAATTTAAAAAAATGAACAAATACAAAAAACATAAATTAAAAAAATTATTAAAATTACAAAGAGAGAAAAGACAGGCTAAACGGCATGATTTATATGCCAGTGTCTGAGATTAGAGCAAACACTTAACCAAAGTTATGGCTTTTAGTCTGGAGTAAATATTTGCATTTACTAGGAAGTGTTGACTGCAGTTTACATACATAATTCTACATGTAGAATTCTGAGTAGCAAAGTTTGTCTTTAGCTTTATTTTAGAATATTTTCATTTTAACAACTTTTTTTTAAAATTAAAAAATTATTAAAAAATTGTTGGTTTGTGGACAAGCAGAGTGAACTTTTTTGGTTGGCGGTCGAATTGTTGTATTTTTTTTTTTTTTAATTTCTTCTGATACCATATACTGAGTCCAAGCACATGTGCTCTTAGGTAAGTTTCGGCATCATGAAACACTAAAACTAACATATTCAGAAGTTAAAGAACAGTTATGAAATCGAAATGTGAGTTCGAGATTTTTGAAGTTTGCTTGATTAACCATATTCTCAGAATTATTCTCTTTTCTCCATTTACTAGCGGTTTTTGCACACTCGTGCTCTCATTTTTGGCATTTTTTCTCTTTTTCTTTTTAAACATTTATTCCGACCGCTTTTCCTCTTTGGTCTATTATTCAAAAATCAACTCTAGGCTGTTTTTTAGTTTTTTTCTCTTTTTCTTACCTTTTTTCACCTTTTCCAGCTTTTGAACTCCTGTTTTGACATATTTCGATTTGCTTCACACTTAATTTCGTATCTTTATTAATTTATCTGTTCTAGTTTATACACTATCCGCCAAAATCTTCGTATATGTCTTTATTTTCTTTCTTTACTTCTTTCGTTTTAAAACTAGTGTTCTTTTTATCTTGTCCCGTTCATTCTTTCTCTCTCTTTTTTTTAGTTTTTTTTTTCTTTTTCCAGCTAAATTTTTCTGTTCCATTCATCATTCATTAACATCAATCTTCCCCCTTTGACTTCATTTTCTCTCTTTGCTTTTTTTCTAATTATCATTATTTTGTTATTCTTCTTCGTTTTACATAGTTCCCTCTCCTTTCTTATCGTCTTTACCGCTAAAATTCCGTTAATTTTGTTTTTACGTTTTATCTTCATTTTCTTTGTTTCTTCTTTGTTCAAAGTATTGCTCCATATTTTCATCATAGTTATCAATATTTTATTGACTTCCTCTCTTCATTTATCCCTAGTTTTCTATTCTTATATTCACACAATCTTTTCAGTTTTTGCTTCCCTCTTTTCTCTCTTTCTTCTTTGATTATTTATCGTTTTCGCTAATTTCTTTATTTCCG